GTTAATTTTAACGTCTTCAAAACTAAACCGTTCCCATTTAGTTGTCTAAAAAAAAAAACCTTTTTTAACTTCCATCTGTAAGGCTGATGCTAACCACTTTGAGTGTGACTCATTACACCTTCTCAAAATAGGGCTACTAAGTGTTAGAAAACAGAAAAAACTAGCAAGGAAAAAGAACAATAAAAGAACAAAAATTAATAAGACAAAAGATGACGATTGATATTGTATTGAATTTTTTTAAGATCAAATTTAACTCGGAAACAAGAATTCAGAAGAGAGTTCCACAAACAATTAAATTCATAAAATCTAGTTAGCATAGAATATAGTTCATCAGAACAATTACCATGAAAATATTTATGGAAAAGACACAGTTAAGTAACGTTACGGCGTTGGAAAATAGATTGAAGCCGAGATGCCAGGTCAGGTCCAATAATATTTTAGATCTTCTTTGGATTTTCTCAAGAATCTCTAAATAAACTTCGCTTTCTATCATCTTCATACAAATAGACTTAGGAAAAAAATGGTAATGGTTATTTAACAGTTTCCTTATAAGGAAACATTCGACATTCACTAACCGAACAGTAAGCGTTCCAATCGGTTGAAATTTATTAAAATCTTTTTTCTTAAAGCGGATAACAATTGACATTGCATTTAAATTATTGAACATCAAAGTTAAATAGGAAGCACGCAGCTGGAAGTGAGTTCCACTGATGAGAAGTGCGAGAGAAGGAACTGTTAGCATAGAACTTACGGTTACATCTAGCCATTTCAACTATAAAATGATGTGACCTTGCTGCCAATCTAGTATTGCGTTTAAATTCATAAAATCTAGGTACAATTACTTGTCAGTAACGCTGAATTCATAGAACCTTTTTTGAGTGGGGATAATCTAACAGGCAAGGTCTTACTAAGTATGAAAGAATATAAGAAAAATATTATTAAGGAGAAAAACTATAATAAAACATGTTTGATGACATAAAATAACAACTGACATTTTAATTTTTGAAGATCAAACTTGACTGAAAAGCAAGATGCCAGAAGAGAGTTCCACAAGCGAGAAGTGTGAGAGGAGAAACTGCTAGCATAGAACTTACGGTTACATCTAGTTATTTCAATTGTAAAATGGTGGAACCTTACCGCCAATCTAGTCGGAAAATGTTTCACTGTAACCTTATTAGACACATTTTCGCAACAGAATCTATATTACCTATTTATAAGCCTGCTATTTGTCCATGCTTTGAATATTGCTTCCACATCTAGTCTGGTGCTCCTGCTAAATATTCAGAGATTTTTGATAAAATATAAAGAAGAATCTGCAATGTTATCGATCCTGACATGGCATCTCGGCTTCAGTGTATTTTTCCTCTGCCGTATCTAACTTGCCTGTGCCTTTTCTATAAATACTTTCATGGTAATTATTCTAATGAATATTGCTCCATGGTACCTAGACTTTATGAATTTGAGCGCAGTACTAGATTGGCAATAAGGTCTCATCTTTTTACTATTAAATTGGATAGATGTAACCGTAAGTTCTATGTTAACAGTTTCTTTTATCGCACTTGCTTGCGGTACTCCCTTCCGACTCCATACTAAGTTTAATCTTCAAGAAATTTAATGGAATGTAAATCTTTACTGTTATCTTGATTCCTCTTTTTTATTGTTTTGACTCCTTAATAATAGTTTCCTTTTCTAATTCTTTCATATTCACTTACTGTCTTAGTGGCTTTATTGCCTTGATTCCGGCGAAATTATTAAATAAGATAAAAAAAAGATATATGAGAAAAAGTGGGAATTACTTTCAACTGAATGTCTTCAATGTCACCTCGATGAGGTTCGGCGCCTTGAAAGAATATTGGGCCTCAAACTCACACCCGACCTCAAGTGGAACTACTATATACGATCCATCGCTAAAGATGCAGCTAAAATGATCGACTCCCTGTTTAACAATAGTATGTACCTGACTCCACCTGATATTTTCTGCCTTTATAAGAGCCAGATCAGGCCCAAAATCAAGTACTGTTGCTATATTTGTGCAGGAGCTGCCAAGTCCTCACTTTCCAGTCTTGATAGGGTTCAAAAGCGTCTCCAGGAGAAGAATTATTTTCCACACTCCAACGTCTTTCTCCCAGGCAGGATGTAACGAGTCTCGCTACTAACATAGAAAGTGCTCGGACGAACTAAATTCTTTGGTTCCGTCAGACCTAATCTTCATGGTAAGGACCAACCATGCAATTTACATAATAGCAAAGGCATGGCACGTGGAACGAGAACAGTATACCCCCGGTGGACAAAATAAAAGGTTCAGTTCGAATTTCCAATTGCCAGAAGAAAGCTGCGGTATACAACGACCGAAATGTTGTGAATATGGCAACGAAGATGAGTATAACAGTCCCAATAATGTAAATAATGCAAATAATCATAATACCTCATCTCAGAGATATAGAGGCCGAAACGTTGTGAATATAGCAATGAAGATGAGGACAACAGTCCGAATAATGTAAACAATGCAAGTAATCATAATACCTCATCTCAGAGATATAGAGGCCGAAACGTTGTGAATATAGCAATGAAGATAAGGATAACAGTCCGAATAATGTAAATAATGCAAGTAATCATAATACCTCATCTCAGAGATATAGACACACAACAATCGTATCCTGTTCAAGTTTAAAGGTAACCGTTATCTTACTCTCCTATCCATATAAGCTACCCTTTAGCAAACGCCTACTTCGAGTAGCCACCCGGGCCGTGTACATGTTGAAACTTACTGAAAAAAAAAATATATATTTTATTTATTTTGCTTACAATTCCTATTATCTAAAAAAACTTGAAAATATCCCAACATATTTTAGTGAAAATTTCCATATCCACACACCTGTGCAATTTAATATAACCAACCGCTTTGGTTTACTTTCTTTCATCATACGGTCAGTTTAAGAAACACTGGAGTGACAGGCTATAATCAATTTCTGTTTTTTCTTCAGATTAAGTCATTTGCAGTGGTGTGCAGTAATATGAATTTATTTTCGGGGTGTATGATGAAATTTGTTTGGCCTTAAAAAAATATTGCCTCATCCGTGATTGCATCAAATTTTCATAACGCCCAGTTACTATTTTCTCGACTGTCGATTAGTTGTCCTACGATTATTGTCTGCTATGGACGTTTCTCCAAGGAAGCGTATGAGAATTTGTATCGCTGTACGAACACACTGACAAGCCTTACTAGTGATCAAGTCAAAGTACTAGACTGGCTCGGAAAACATCATGATTTAAATCCAATCGAGAATCTGTGGTCAATCGGCAAGGAAAGACTTTGTGGAATGGATATACAAAGTACTAACATGTGCATTGGGTCATGTTTCATTGGAAAAATACAGAAAAAATAATAAAGGAATTATTTGTTTTTTGGGTTTTTTTTCAATTAATTTGCATAAGGATGTAATTTATAATTCTATTGAGATATTTGAAAAATGTCGTGATCAGTTTCAACTGACACCAGGAGAATATGTGTTAATTGTGTATTTTTCATTTTATCTCTTAAATTTTCATCCATCTTTCCTCAGTTTTCCTCATTTGAATAACATTGATTGTTTCTATTTCTTACTTCAGTATCTGTTTCTTTTCTATATTCTTTCTGTTTCCGTAGTTAATTACAAAGAAAGAAAGAAAGAAAGAAAGAAAGAAAGAAAATAATAAAAAGATAGAAAATTACAAATGGTTTTTAAAAGAAAGAAAGAATGAAAAAAGAAAGAAAGAAAAAAATCAGAAAAGAGAGATAATTACGAATTGTTTTTATAAGAAAGAAAGAAAGAAAGAAAGAAAGAAAGAAAGAAAGAAAGAAAGAGAAAAATAAGAAAGATAGAAAGAAAATATAAAAAAGATACAAAATTACGAATGGTTTTTTAAAAGAAAGAAAGAAAGAAAGTAAGAAAATCAGAAAAAGAGAGATAATTGCGAATTGTTTTTATAAGAAAGAAAGAAAGAAAGAAAGAAAGAAAGAAAGCATGAAAGCAAGAAAGAAAGAAAGAAAATAATAAAAAGAGAGATAATTACGAATTGTTTTTAAAAGAAAGAAAGAAAGAAAGAGAGAAAGAAAGAAAGAAAGAAAGCATGAAAGAAAGAAAGAAAGAAAGAAAATAATAAAAAGAGAGATAATTACGAATTGTTTTTAAAAGAAAGAAAGAAAGAAAGCATGAAAGAAAGAAAGAAAGAAAATAATAAAAAGAGAGATAATTACGAATTGTTTTTAAAAGAAAGAAAGAAAGAAAGAAAGAAAGAAAAAGAAAGAAAGAAAATCAGAAAAAGTGAGATAATTACGAATTGTTTTATAAGAAAGAAAAAAGAAAGAAAGAAAGAAAGAAAGAAAGAACAGTAGAAAAATTAACAATGATTAGATCAGAAAGAAAGAAAAAAAAGAAGGAAGAAAATCATAAAAAAACGTATAATTACAAATGTTTTTATCAGAAAAAAGAAAGAAAAAAATGGACAAAATAAAGAAAACATAATCAATCAAAGGAAGACCAAGATGGAAAGAGAGAAGAACAAAGAAAGAAAGAAAGAAAGAAAGAAAGAAAGAAAGAAAGAAAGAAATTAGCAAACACCTGCAAAACGAAGCAAAAACCATGCAATCAAAATTGATAAAAATGAAGATAGAAAATAAATCCAGAAAAAAAAGAAGGAAAATGAAAGAATAACAAAAGAAAAAGAGAAAAGTTATAAAAAGAAAAAGAGTAACGGAAAGAAAATTTAACGAAAGCAAAAAGAAAAATTAAAGGCAAAAAAATCAAAACGGAAAGAAAGATAAACACGGAATAAGAGAAACAAACAGACTGTGTTTGTTTTAGGCGTTAGGATCTAATGAGGAGCTTCCTGTTTATATTGGGTGCACCGTTCTTGCTGCGTTTGTATGGGTGAGAAGAAAAGGGGCAGGATCGAGATTGTTAGCAGTCACGCCTTCGTTCGTTGACTGGCCATCAGTGATACACGGTAACAAGTCAAATATGTATTTCACCGCATGTGCACCTCCACAAGAGGATCGGAATATTTGCACCTCCACAAGAGGATCGGAATATTTGCACCTCCACAAGAGGATCGGAATATTTGAACCATCACAGGAGGATCGGAATATTTGCACCTACTCAAGAGGATCGGAATATTTGCACCTGCACAAGAGGAACGGAATATTTGCACCTGCACAAGAGAATCGGAATATTTGCACCTCCACAAGAGGATCAGAATATTTGCACCTCCACAAAAGGATCGGAATATTTGCACCTCCACAAAAAGATCGGAATATTTGCACCTGCACAAGAGGATCAGAATATTTGCACCTCCACAAAAGGATCGGAATATTTGCACCTCCACAAAAAGATCGGAATATTTGCACCTGCACAAGAGGAACGGAATATTTGCACCTCCACAAGAGAATCGGAATATTTGCACCTGCACAAGATAATCGGAATATTTGCACCTCCACAAGAGGATCGGAATGTTTGCACCTTCACAAGAAGATCGGAATATTTGCACCTCCACAAGAGGATCGGAATATTTACACCTGCACAAGAGAATCGGAATATTTGCAAACTAAAATAAAAAAAATCATTTGTATAAAAAATATCAGGTAAAAATGGTGAAAGAAACAAAGAAGATAGCATTGAAAAAGAAGCCAAGAAAGAGAATCAGTTAGGTAGAACGGACGAAAAAGTAAAAACAAAATTAATGAACGAATGAGTGAAAAGAAGCGTATATGAAAGAAGAAAAGATGAGAAGGAAATAACGGAAAAATAAAAAATAAAAATATCAAAAGAAGAAAAGGGACTAGAAAACAATGGGGAAAAAACTAATGAATAAGAAAATCATTCCAATAAAAGAAAAAGTTAATAATAATAATAATAATAATAATAATAATAATCACGGATTGGTTGGAAAAGATTCCAGTAGACTCATTAAAGAGATTCCTTGAAACCCATGCCTTAAAGAAATACAAAAAATTGTTCTCACGAGTACAGCCAACACCTTACGAAGGGCTTTATCTATGTAAAATATGTCTTCTTTTTTTTGTCTTTTTTTTTTCCATTTGCTCAGTGAAAAATGTTCTGACGCCATTTCTGACCTTGGGTTTCTGGTTGGGACCCGGAAAGAAATGAGTACACACCAGAAATCAAAGGAAATGAAATAATAATAATAATAATAATAATAATAATAATAATGATAATAATAATAATAATGACAAAAACATCAACAACAATAAAAACAATAACAACATGAAGAAGAAGATCTAGAAGAAGAAGAAGAAGAAGAAGAAGAAGAAGAAGAAGATAGCAGTTTGATCAACCCCAAATTAAACGTAAACGGGAAAGTTTGAATGTTTATTTTATTTCAAACATAATCTGGTGATGCTGGGGTTGCTTTGGTCCATCTGGGTGTGGTGAGTTTTGGCTATGATAAGAAGAGGGTTGGTAGGAGTAACGCGGTTAACCGACAGTGGAAAGTGGAGGGTAATGGCCTTTGTAAAACTAACAAAAGTTCAACATACAATTCAAAATCATAACACGTTGGTTTCTTAACATAAGAAAACAAACAAACGAATGTTGGAGATCAGGGAGTGTGGTTATCTACTCTCTCTTCTTCTTCTTTTTAATCATTTCTATCTCTCGCTTTCTCCCACTTGTTTCACGTAATATCTCTTTTTCTCTTCGTCTTTCACACCTCATTTTTAAAATCTCTTTTCCTTTCAACATCTCTTTTCTTACCTCTCTTTTAACACTGCCTTTTTTCTTTCTGTCCTTCTTTCCTTTTTTCTTTCTTTCTTTCTTTCTTTCTTTCTTTCTACATCTCTTTGCTTACCTTGCTTTTATCGGTACCTTTCTTTCTACATTTCTTACCTCTCTTTTAACGCTGCCCTTTTTATCTTTCTGTCTGTCTTTCTACAACGCTTTTCTTACCTCACTTTTAACGCTACATTTCTTTCTTTCTACATCTCTTACCTCTCTTTGAACGCAACTTTTTTCTTTCTTTCTGTCTTTCTACATCTCTTTTCTTACCTCTCTTTTAACCCTACCTTTTCCTTTCTACATATCTGCCCTTACCGCTCTGTTAACGCTTGCTTTCTACATCATTTTTTACCTCTCTTTTAACGCAACCATATTTCTTTCTTTCTTTCTACATCTTTTTTCTTATCTCATTTTTAACGCTACCTCTTTCTTTCTACATCTCTTTTCTTACCTCTCTTTTAACGCTACATTTCTTTCTTTTTGTCTTTCTACATCTATTACCTTACTTTTAATACTACCTTTCTTTCTACATCTCTTTTCGTACCTCTGTTTTAACTCTGCCGTTCTTTCTGACTTTTTCTACATCTTTTACCTTTCTTTTTACGCTACCTTTCTCTCTTCCCGCCTTTCTACATTTTATTTTTTACCTCACTTTTAACGCTACCTTCCTTTCTTTCGTTTTTCTTTCATTCTTTCTATATCTATTTTTCTTACCTCACATTTAATGCTACCTTTCTTTCTACATCTCTTTTCTTACCTCTTTTTTAACGCTGCCGTTTTTTCTGTCTTTCTACATCTCTTACCTTTCTTTTAACCCTACCTTTCTTTCTTTCGTTCTTTTTTTTCTTTCATTCTTTCTACATCTCCTATCTTACCTCTTTTTCAACTCTACTGTTCTTTCTTTCTTTCTTTTTTTACCCCTGAATTTCTGAGAATAGGAAATAGAATTATTTACTTTTTTAGTAATGTCACCATTTTTGCTGTTATCATCACAACGTTTCGAGTGTCCTCTCCGGCCTTCTTCTTCTGATTACTCTCTATCATCAACTTCCGAGGCGACATTTATTTACTTTCAACAACCCCAGTCAGTTACCCTCTACCTTTACTGGGACTTGTATTGGTGAAAAACAGTAAAAAAATAAAATAACCAACTCGAGCGGAAATCGAACGTGGTCCGCCGATTCCAGTTATCTCTGCCGATAGCTGTTATGCAACACGCACATCCACCTATAGAGTTCATGAAAATTGAAAAAAAGAAAGTTCACTTATCCAAATTAAATGGAATTTATTTACCTTATTCGGACTATTGTCCTCATCTTTGTCGCCATATTTATCACAACGTTTCGGCCGTTTACGCTCCGGCTTTCTTCAGGTGGTTGAAATATAGACAGACTCTAAATGGAATTTAATCAAGATCTCTACAGTTGTGAGGATGAGTGAGTTGACCCTGTAATTAAGTCCGTGTTCTCAGCTATTTTTACCATCTTATAAATAGCTCCCTTTTGTCAAAACTTCTCTATACTGAGTAAATATATTATAGTATTATAATCAACATTTCATCGACAAGGGAATACATTAGATTGGAAAACTAATCTGAAGAAATTCTTTAAGATTAGCTTGGTGGAGGGATTTCTAAAATCCATGTCCCTTAAGGAGATGGGCGATAATGGCTTTCCACCATTTTATTTTTCCTTTTTTCTTTACCTACGAACAGCGACGACTTTCTGGGAAATAGAGTGGAGGAGTTTCTTGTTACTTTCTCTCCGATTTTGAATTCTAAGTAGTCTTCTAGACTGGTTGCCACCCAAGGCTACGCTGCGCTTTCGGTCATATCTGGGAAACAAATTTTTCCGGCTTAGAAGACGCTGCAGTACGGAAGACGCACCCATATTTTATGGAAAAAAGTGCGTCTTGTAAGCCGGGAAATACAGTAAATATCTTCATGCCTTTCCCAAGTGCTTTGGTGAAAAGTGAACACAAAAGACGAGGCCAGAATTTGAACTCGGCACGCCGAGATAGACTTTATGCTACCCACTTTGTGGAGGGATATCGTTCTTAAAAAGTGGACAAGGTTGGCGTGAGAGGCTATTCTGATGCTCTGAAAAGAATTACAGAAAGTAAAGCCACTATACAGATACCGATTCTTGTTCTAGTAAAAGATTATGCATTTTTAGATATACTGGAAGTAACAAAAAAATCAACTGATAATAAAGTAATTCCTGTGTTTGGTCTTAATTTTTAAAACAAGGACATTCTTTTTAATTTTTTTGATCAACTATATTCTCTATTATTTTATTACTAGTTTCATAACTTCTTATCTTTATGGCTTTATAAACGATATTTTTTCACTATTATTATAATTATTTGAGCATGATTTTTATAACCACCCTATAATATGAAAAGAATTAGAGAACTTGTATGAAATATTAAGGGATGAGATGCTTCCACGCAGCCTATTTGGCGTGGCCGATTCGGCGTAGCTGAGTCGACATAGGAATCTGTCAGCAGAGGGACGATTAGGCGTCAGATTACTACTTCGTCGTTATAGTCAAATTTGCTCTCTCTCTCTCTCTCTCCCCCCTCTCTCTCTCTCTCTCTCTCTCTTGTATAATAGTAAGTGTTGTTGCTAGTTTGAAACTATATCGATTCCATTATTAATTAGATCACGTGATCATAAAGGAAGTGAATAAATAGGAAGTAGTGTGAGTACTATACGATCACTGTTCACTCTTCTTGTCTATCCACTATTGCTCTCTACTCTATTACTATACAGGTTACGATTCTCTTCTGATCATTATACTATTTGGCGATTACTACTTGAACAAGTATTACTAGTGCGGATATTATTGGAAGGCGTTAATACTAGTACCGGCGTCTACGAAGTCTCGAATATAACGAGTATTTTTTAAAGTGATGACGAGCTTTCGCTTCACATAGTAAAAGTGACAAGAGAAACACTCTCTCCTTCTCTCTCTCTCTCTCTCTCTCTCTCTCTCTCTCTCTCTCTCTCTTTCGTTTAATAGTCAAGTTAGTACTTCTTCTTTATACTCAAATTTGCTCGAATCGTCCAGTTTAAGAAAAAGAATAGTATGAGGCATTTTATATTTAAGAATAGGAGTAGTTAGAGGCATTTTTAAATTTAAGAAAAAGAGTACATTATTTACATTATTTGGACCATTGTCCTCATCTCTGACGCCATATTTATTACAACGTTTCGGCCGTTGTGCGCTCCAACCTTCTTCAGGTGGTTGGAATGTCGAACTGAAACCTTCTCTTCATTCTCGCCAACTTGTTTCACCTTTTTTGGATAGACTTGTGACTGGATCTTTTATCGAAATGTTAAGCGTCGTAGACAGTGGCTTGGTAAAGGGGAAGGACCCCAGCCACAGCCGAGAAGGGAACTTCATGGGCAAAGGGTTCTTCTTTCAATCTGGTGGGATCGCCAAGGAATAATCCACCTCGAATTCTTACTACCTAATGCAACAATTAATGCTCAAATATACTGTCAGCAATGAGAGCATTTGAACCAAGCTTTGAAGAAAAAAAGACCTGCTCTAGTGAATCGAAAAGAGGTGATGTTTCATCAGGAAAATGCGCGACCCCACACAGCAAGAATCACGTCACAAAAGATCGAAGAACTTGGTTGGGAGAAAATTCCTCATCCACCTTACAGAATCATTTGGAAGAAACAGTTTTTGTAGCACAGGAAGAGGTTAAAACTGACATTTGTGAGTTCTTTGAATCGAAGCCAAAAGAAATTTACAGTAATGGAATTAGTAAGCTTGTTAATAGATGGAAGGAAGTCGTAGATAATCAGGGAAAATACATTGTAACATTTGTTCACTTGTTTTCTTTATTCAAAATTCGGGCAGAACTTACGGGATGACCTGATATATAATTTATGTATATATATATATATATATATATATATATATATATATATATATATATATTATTACCTGGCCAAAATATTCTAGAAATTATATTGGTAAGCAATATGGGCTCTCCAGCAGGATTCGAACCGACATTCCTCTAGCAAATAGGAAGGTAGTCAGTTTGAACATTAATTACATTATTCAGACTATTGTCCTCATCTTTGTCGCCATGTTTATCACAACGTTTCGGCCGTTGTACGCCCCGGCCTTCTTCAGGTGGTTGGAATGTCGAACTGAACCTTTTATTTTGCTCACCGGGATAGACTGTTCTAGTTCCACGTGCCATGTTTGATGGATGTCAGTTGTCAGTTATCTCCTGTTAATTTCCCTCTGAAAGTTCTCCACTGCTTTAACGGGGTATTGAACTCACACTCTTTGTCACTGGATCTAACCAACGCCTTTATCCACTATGCCATGGTTGGCGTTCGTTAGATTCAGTGACAGGTCACTCCTCCTACCCCAATATAAAATACACTTGAGAGAGATATGAAATTAACCCCTCCCTATACTCTACTATGTCTCTTTAACTATCCCTCTCACACCCCCTGTTAAATTACAAAAACTTAGACTACCCATCAATTTTAATCTCATTTTTCGTTTCATTTCGTTGTTGGAAGTGCTATCTGATGATCCGGCGTCCTTTTAAAAGGACTCTGGTGAAATAAATTATTATAATGGTACCTTAAAGTGTTTTTCTTTTAAATATTAGCTCTGGATTTACATTGAGCTCTCAGGATTTCATCCTCCTTGGGATTACCCATACGGATTACCTTTAACTTATATATATATATATATATATATATATATATATATATATATATATATATATATATATATATATATTACTACCGGGCCTAAATATTCATGAAATCGACTTATTGAAATATATGGGCTCTCCAGCAAGATTCGAACCGGCGTTCCCTAGAAAATAATAAGGCTGTTTTTGACCTCTTCGATGCAGAGGGCGTCGATTACGAAAAATGACGTTTATGCAACACAAATCTGTCGGATTAATAGATTAAAAAAAATCCATGTATGCGTGTGTATCTGCGCGCGCGAATCTGTGTGTGTGCGTGTTTGTGTGAGTGTGTGAGTGAGTGCGCGCGCGCGTGTGCGTGTGCTGATAATTCCCTAAATGTATCCTGCCAATTCCTCGATTCTCAGCAGTTTTGTAAGTTTGGCGATAAACAAGACTGAATTAGTTTAATTGGAACTGAATTTCCTTTTTCTCCCAAAAGACAAGTGCTGCATATGGACAAAATATTTTTCTTCCGGTTCTGGGCGTTTCCAACAATTTCTTTTTCAGTTTCAAAATCCTCAAAAGCTCGAAAGCCATAAGATGCCATCTGCTTTTGCGATCTTACAAGCTCAAAGGGTCAAAAAGCAAATGAAAAAAGGGTCGCTGCGTCACTCACCCCAAACTGCGCATGCAGAGACTGTGACGAAGCGTTTCATGTTATTTCTGTTAATTTCTGTAATTATATAGAAGAGCACAAGCAGGTACAGCTTTAGTGGCAAGGCGTCGGACAATTAGCTGCAAAGCCTTGTGCCTGACCCAAGCGACTGAAAGGTGACATTCGTTAGCATTACTTTGATTTAGTGAAGAGGTGCTTAACCTAGATATAAAAAACAATCTAGAAGAACATAAACATTGTTATGACACGAAATTAATAAGCATGCAAAAGTCATGTATATATATATATATATATATATATATATATATATATTAAAATAATAATAATATGTGTATATATATATGATAATATATGTATGCATATGAATAATATATATATATATATTTATATGAATAATATGTGTGCATATGAATATATATATATATATATATATATATATATATATATATATATATGTATGTATATAACATGAAACAGACTGTCGCCTATAACTGTTGTTTTTCAATGTTCACTTTTATACACACACACACACACACACACACACACACATATATATATATATATATATATATATATATATATAAATGAATAATAATGTTGTTGTGTCGATATGAGTTTGTGACACTCGGTTGCACGCTTCTGCGATGATCGGACAAACTAGTTTATTTTTAAAAATATATATATATATATATATATATATATATATTATATTATATTTAAAAAACGAATAATGTTTTTCATATCTTTTAAAAAATGAATAACATATATATATATATATATATATATATATATATATATATATATATATATATAAAATTCATATACATATATAAACTACCTGCAGCCCACAATACTATCAATACTTGGAATTATAAATGTAGCCTTGTGAAAAGGCAAATTGAAATATCCAAGGAAAAATTGAACAACCTTAACAGCAACAAACAGGACATCTACGATAAACTACAGGATATAACTGGAGAAATTACACATAGACTCACGGAATTTACCAACAAATCTGAGGCTCAACACCGATTTAAAATTATACAAAGGTAATATTACTCTCCCTAACAAAACTGATAAATACATTAACCTTTCCAACTATGAACTAAGCACCAAAAAGAATTACTTAACCTTGGACCTAACTGCCATATAGACCGTAAGTACAATCGACTTTAAAAAAAAAATAGAAATTGAGACCCTATACCAAAACATCGTTAAACTCCAGGATGAACAACTAATAGAAACTACACCAGAATTTAAAGACTTACTTAAGGCCGAGGCATTCAAGGATCGGCATGATAAAAGCAGAAACTCCTCAAAAATACTTTCTAAACAACTGAAAATTGTCGCACAAGAACTACGCAACCACCCTGACATTATCGTAAAAAAAGCTGATAAGATCAACATTTTTGTCATCCTAAACAAATTGGATTGCAACAAAAAACTTGACCACATACTCCATGATCACAAAAAAGTTTAAAAAACGTAACAAGAAGCCGACCAACCAACTAAAATCAAAGCTTAATAAACTTATTAATGCTAATAATTCTGAACAGAACTCTTTAAAACTCCCTAAAATTGTTGGTGATTATAGACCTGGTTACATATACGGCACTATAAAAACACATAAACCTAACTATCCTCTCCGTCCTATCATATCGCAAATTCTAACTCTTGTATATCATCTAACAAAATACATTAACCAACTTATTACTCCCTACCTTCCAATGGATCAATATTGTGATTTTCTTTCTTCGTTTAATGATAATGTTATTATTGCTTATCAGATGTTATGAAAAGAATTTACATAAAATAAATAGACAACATTTGTCTATATTATTTAATGAAACATGTATGAATATATAAATATATATATAATATTTTTTACTTATATTATTTATATTTAAATTTGGCTCACACATAGAGACATATACAGAATCATATACATTAATTCTGGATTAATTATATATTATCTATATAGTTAGGTCATTACCTAACTACACACACACACACACACACACACACACACATATATATATATATATATATATATATATATATATATATATATATATCTTTCTTTGAAATGTCTTTCGTTGAATATGACGGAAAAAAATTTTTTATAGACAAAAAATTAATAAAATTTTCCTTGTTCGTCATATTTTTCGTATATATATATATATATATATATATATATATATATATATATATATATATATATATATACAGATGAGATTATGTAGAAAAGATAGCACTAAACTAAAGAGGTCAAAATTGTACCGATTGGAATATACACCTGAACTATACTGCTCGGAGTCTGTTCCACAAAACAACAGTTGTTGGAAAGAAGCTATCCATATGGCACTTACTTCTTGCGAAGGGAATCCGTTGATTCTGATTATTTGCAATGACTGTAAAATCATTTCTTTCATCATATCCGTAGTTAAAAAAAACGCACTTTGTTACATTTTTAAAAATTCAACCTTAGCGTTGCGACTGCACACTCCAAAAGTTTGTATCCGTTATCAATAACACATTTTAAAAAAAAAAAAACATTTCGATTCGCATTTAATTTTTTTCGTCTCGGATGCTACCTGAATTTTACCAAAAACAAAATAATTTCCATACCTGAAGATGACTGAATGTACAGTCGAAAGTACTTGAATATTA